TCCACGGGCGGTGCTGCGGCGCCACCTGCACCCTCAGCATCCCATGCTCTTCCCGCACTCGGGTGGCAGCCTCGGACGGTGGCCGCGCCGGCCCGCGTGCCCACCCTGGCCGCGTGGACAGGTGTTCGTGCAGGCACCTGGCAGGACCTATGTGGCCCCTCGCGGGCGCTGGCGACGGGCCAGGCGCGGTCTCCGCGCTCAGCTGCGGGGTCTCCGTCTCTGCCGAGAAGCCAGCGTCCTCAGCCGGGCCGGTTATCCCGTCCACCTTAGCACACGCCTTCCGGTCCCTCGCCCGTCGCTCTCCAGCCGCACCTAATGTACGAAGTCCCAAACCTTCTGTTTCGGGTGGGAAGACCCGCGATTTCTGAGATCGAGGGCCTGAGCCAAAGTCTGTTGTGCCCTGGAAGCGACTTCTCAGGGGAGTCGTCCTTCCTTGGTGCCCTGTTGGGTGCGCGCTGCTGCCCGGGCTCAGGAAGCAGGCGTGGCCTTAGCAATCGACCTGGCTGTTTGACCGTTTCATGATGCGCTAGAACACATTAGAATCGTGTTTGTGTTTTCGCAGCGGTGTAAAATATTTGTTCGGTGCATTTGTATTTACCCTTCTCTCTTTTAACTTTTCTCTGTCACGGTCTTATTTCCACGTGAAAAAATTCTGGTTTAGAATTGCCTAATTTGTGTAGTTCTTGATCTTGAAAATTGAGAATCGCTTTGCCAAGTCATACTGTGGAATAAAGAGGAGATCTAAGTCCTGAACTAGTGGAATTTGATACAGCATACTTAGTTTAATTTTAATTTTTTAATTAAAGCTAAACAAACAGAAAAGTGCATAATCAAATGTGTACACTTGAAGCATTTCACACGAGTCGCATCTGTGTAATCCGAACCCAGAGTGAGAAACAGACTATTACTAGGTCCTTCTTTTCTGTGGTTACTCCGCTCTACCAAGAGCAGCCACTGTCCCCGCTTTCACAGATTAGTTTTGCTTAGTTTTGAACTACTATGTAAACGGAACCTTCTAGTATGCATTCTTTTGTTTCTGGTTTCTTTCACTCAACAGTGTTTGTGGAATTCCTTTGTATTGTATGTGGTTATAATTCATTCTCAATGCTGTAGTTCTGCGATTATAGCACAGTTTATTTTTATTTTACTGCTGATGGGCGCTTTAGTATTTTCCAGATTTTGACTACGAATATTCTTAAACGTGTCTTTTGGTGAACATGTGTGTGCACTTCTGTTAGGTGTACACCTAGGCCTAGAACCACTAGGTTATAGGCTGTGCATTTGTTCATCTTTAGTACGTACTTTTAACACAGTTTGCCAAAGTGGTCGTACGAATTTCTCCTCTGAGCAGCACTGTATGAGAGGCATGGTTGTTTCCAGTCCTTACAGCACTTAGTGTTCGCTGTCCTTTTAAAATTTTAACTACTCTAGTGTGTCGTGGTATTTATTACACAAAAGATTTCATTTGCATGTACCTGATGATTAATGAATTTATGAATTTGAACACTTTTTCATATGTTTATTGGTCATTTGGAAATCTTTTGTGAACTATCTCAAGTCTTTTCCTCATTTTTAAATTAGTTTGTATATCTTTTAATATTGATTTGCAAGAGTTCTTTATGTATTGTGGATATGATACTTTGCTCTTCTCCCCGTCCCCCGCCCCCCCATTTTGTGGATGCCTTTTCACTCACTCAATATCTTCTGATGAGCAGAAATTCTTAATTTTAATATAGTTCACTTTATCAAATTTTTTTTCTTTTAATGGCCAGTGCTTTTTTTGTGTGTTATGTCCTGTGTAAGAAATCTTTGCTTAATCCAAGGCTACAAAGATGTTCTCTTGTGCTTTTCCCTTCATGCTTTATCCACTTGTTCTTCCCATTGAGATCTGCAGTTGATCTGAAGTGTATTTCTTGTATATACTGTGAAGTAGAAGGCGTGTATATTTCTTCACATGGTGTCCTATTGATTCAGCACCATTTATGACCTTTGTCATGAATTAGGTAACTATATTTGTGGGGTTTAATTTCGGACCTGTGCTGTTCTACTGGTCTGTTGTTCTAGGCTTTATTTTTAATTAGGTATTCTGCCATCTGGGTTGAGAAAGTAGCCAAGAGCTTCATTATCTTTGTCCACTCCCCTGGAAACAACTCAGTTTTGGCCCCGATCAGAGTTCCTTGGTTTTGCCCCTCTTCACCCCGTTTTCCGCTGGGCCAGCGCCCCTGGGTGGTGAGTGTACCCCACCCTCTGCAGAACCAGACCAGACATTGACCAAGCTCAGTGAGTTTCCAGGCTTCGATGCTCCTTCCTTAAACTGTTCATGTTTGGAGTGAATATAAATGCTTAATTTTTCTCTAGAACTTGTTGCCAATTCTTTTAATTATTCAATTCTTTGGTTTTGTCATATAATGCAGTAATTTTTAACTTTTTATTGAGATAAAATATACATAATATACAATTTACCATTTTTAAGTGCACAATTCGATGGCATGTGGTAAATTCAGATTATTGTGTAACCATCACCACTATGCATCTCCAGAACTTTTTTTGTCAAATTGAACTCTGTCCCTATGAATCAATAACTCCCTGTTCCTCCCTCCTCCCAGCTCCTGGTAACTTTCATTCCACTTTCTGTCTCCATGAGTTTGGCCATTCCGGGTATCTCATTTAAATGGAATCACACACTGTTTCTCCTTTTGTGACTGGCTTATCTCACTTAGCATAATGTTTTCAAGTTTCATCCATGTCGTAGCATATGTCAGAATTTCCTTCTTTTTTAAGGCTGAGTAATATTCCCTTGTATGTATCTACCATCTTTTGCTTATTCAGTCATCCATCGATGGACATTTGGGTTGTTCCCTGGCTATCGTGAATAATTCATGAACATCGGTGAACACATGTCTTTCTGAGACCTTGCTTTCAGATCTTTTAGAAGTGGAATCACCGGACCCTATGGTGACTCTGTGTTTACGTTTCTGAGGGACGGTCACACTGGTTCCCACGTGGCTGCACCATTTCACTCTGCTGGCAGGGCACCAGCGTTCCGGTTTTTCCACATCCTTGCCAACACACGCTGCTTTCTGCTTTTTAAAAATAGTAGTTATCCTGATGAGTGAGGTGGTATCTCACAGTGGTTTTGAATTGCTTTTCCCTGTTGACTAGTGATGCTGAGCATTGTTTCATGTGCTCATCGGCCACGCGTATGTCTTCCTTGGAGAAACGTCTATTCAAATCCTTTGCCTATTTTTGAATTGAGTCATTGTATCATTGTTGAGTTTTGGGAGTTTTTTATATGTTCTGAATGTTAATCTCTTACTGGATATGTGATTTGCAAATATTTTCTCCTATTCTTGGAGTTGCCTTTTTACTCTATTTATAGCGTCCTTTGATGCACAAAAATTTTAAAATTTTGGTGAAGTCCAGTCTCTTTTTTTTGTTGTTGTTGCCTGTGCTTTTGGTGTCATGTCCCAGAAATCATTGCCAAATCCAAAGGCATGAAGGTTTCCCTCTATATTTTCTTCTAAGAGTTTTATAGTTTTAACTCTTACATTTAGGTCTTTGATTAATTTTTAGTAAATTTTTGTATGTAGTGTAGTGTTTAACTTTTAAATACTCATGTGATGACCTTATTTTGTCTCTAATATTATGACTATTTCAGAGTTCTCTTGTTAGTTACTTTAATCAGTGGCCCTTACCCCCCAGGACGCAGACTAGTACCAGTCCATGGCCTGTGAGGAGCCTGGCCACACAGCAGGAGGTGAGTGGCGGGCCAGCCAGCGAAGCTGCATCTGTATCTGCATCTGCAGCCGCTCCCTGGAGCCAGCATCACCGCCTCAGCTCCGCGTCAGATCCTCAGGCGTTAGATTCTCAGTGGAGCAGGAAGGTTGGGGACCTCTGACTTTAATGATCACATGGGCTTTAGGTATTAATGTCAGGTAGTAATGATACTTTCCCTTTCTTCCTTTTGCTGTCTTTTTTTTTTTTAAGTCCTTTACAGGTGCACAGAATTGGATTAATTATAAGCCTCGGTTCACACACAAAAACTTTTTATTGGTCTATGTGTGACCTTTTGACTAAAGTATTTTCAAATAATGTACACACACGAACCATCACCCAGGACTCTAAAGCAGTGACTGGCGCAATTATTGATGGCCCGCGGAGCTGACACGCAGGCAGGGGTTTCCACCGCCCACCCCAGTGCCTGCCTCAGCGGCACGGCGACACTGCCTCTCAGCACACCCGAGCTTTGGGTGCGTTTGCTTAGGCGATAGCTGCAGAATGCTTTTCTTCCATCGATGCTGCTTTCACCAGTATAGTTATTACTTTAAAATGATCACAAATTAATACAGAACTGTACCAAACCCCTCATCGTTCATTCGCCACTTGAGAGGGCAGAAGGTAGGAGCCAGTCACCTGTCTTGTATATAAATTTGGAATGCGGTGGTCTGGGGGTCCATAGTCTTTTCTGACCTTCTAAATTGCCTTCCAGCAAAGGACCACCAGCGAGACACCTGAAGTTGGACAAGTTGGGTCGATTGCATCGTGTATTGAGGCAAAATGCATCTCCATGAGAGAGTATTAGAAAGGAACTTGTAAAATTAGGGGTCGGGCTTGTGTTAGGTACCTTGGGAAGTTTAAGGACATGAGGCTTCGATGTGTATTGGATGCTGTTGACTGGGTATCTTAATAAATCTTACCTAGAAGAAAAAAGAGTGGCGAGATGCTCGCACTGTCCGCGGCAGAGAGGCAAGTCGTTTGTGTGAGCCAGGGCGGGGAGGCGATCGGTCATTCTTGTAATTTCGACATCGGACCGCGTTCATCTTTTCCGCCGTGCTCAGGCACGATTATGGCGTGGCCTCGTTGATTCTTACTCCGTTCTGGTCGCGGCGTGGCCTTCTCCGACGTCGATGTTCTCCGAAGTCGTTCAAAAAAAAGGAGAACCATCGGGGCTGCGCCGTGAGTTGGCAGCGAGCTTCTAGCGACACTGAAGCCGAGCCGATCGTAGCCGGGCAGCTCGCACGCAGGGGCTGCTTTTCTCTTTTTCCGCATGGTCGTACAGTGTCACTTGCAGCGGAATAGTGGGGTGGATGCCGAGGCGGGAAAGGCTTCAGGTGGCCTTTCCCAGCCATGGAGGAGAGCCCTACCTCTCTGCCTTGGTGGCTCCTTGTCAGAGCGCTTGCTGTCTTCCACGTAGCTGGCTTCCCTCTGTCCTCGCAGGGCTGGGATCTGCCTCCCCCAAGGCAGACCGGGGGCGAGGAGCGAGAGACGGGCAGTGGTGGCAGTGCTCACGTAGTGGCGTGAACCCCGAGGGTCGGGAGGCTGACAACTGAACCCTCATGCATGGTTAATGCCGGCGAGCAAAACACACTGCCTCGCGTGTGGCCGTGACCTAGGAAACCATAGTGCCCGCGTGTGCGTCTCCGACATGCAGTTTTCAAGTCGTGCCTTAGAGATTTATCTACCATTCCTTCACTTAAAAATTTATGTTATTTGAAAAAATTAACACCAAATAATAAAATTTTTATATTATTGCCTTTTCCTCTATTTAGCACACATTTCTTAGACCTGCGGTTCTCAGCTGGGGTGATAATGTCCCCCCAGGACACATGTAGCAATGTCACAGCTAGGGGGATCATGTTTTGGCATCTAGTGGGTAGAGGACAGAGATGCTGCGAAGATCCTACATGCACAGGACAGTCCTCCAACAACAGGAATTATCTGGCCTAAAATGTTAACAGTACTGAGGTTGAGAAACTTGGTTTTAGACTAATTGCCAAAAAAGTACATAAGATAAGCACAGGATTACATAATAGACAACACGATTTGAGCGGCCTCTGGTTGGGGATGTTTATCTGCTATCATGAGTTGCCGCAGTAGGGAATGTTAATGCTAATTTCATCGGTATGTTGTAATAATTGGATCCCTTTCTATTTAAAAAAAAATTGGAGGCAGATTAAAGGCCAGAGCATTCCAAACTACTTAATGTTAAGGGATTTAAAAAACCCCACTTTCCATTATGATCTCACACCTTGTGTTCTTTTACAAAAAGATTAATTTTTACCATGTTCATCAACAACTATTTAAAATTCAAAGCAAAACAGAATCAGTTACAGAGAAGTGCTGGGCTAACTTCTCCGGATTAACTCTGCAGAGACTGGACAGTCCCAGGCATCTGTGAAATGATGGACCCAACGGAAGAGATCAAACTGTGAGCGATAACATGGTGACTCCTGGTTTCCAGTCCAGTTATCGCCGCCATCCTCAGCAAAAAGCTCTTTTCAGATGCGTCAGGAAATTGCGATGATGAGACAGATGCCGCCTTGACACCTGGAGACACGTGAATACCTAGAATGACGGCTTGCCCAGAGCAGGAGCGTGTGCGCCGACGCCTGCTGCTAGCCCACTCGTAGGCACAGCTAAACCGCAGCCCTGACTGCGGAGGCTTGGTGCGGGCGAGCCAGCGAGGCGGAAACTGGAGGCCCGGTCGTGGGGGGCACCCCCACACGCTTCATGAGTTTTACCTCCAGGAGCTCTACAGGTTCTCAGAGGAAAAACTCAGAAAAAGCTCCCATTGAGGCCCTGCTCCCCGCCCCGCCTTCGGAACCGGGAGGGCAGTCCGACCCGTTCTGTGACAGTCCATCGTGGTACTTGCGCGTTGATCCTCATGGCAGGCATCTTTCCCTTAAGCTAGTGATGCCGCCTTCGCTTCCATAACCGTTAGTCTGACCCCCACCCTGGGAGGAATTGCTCGCCGTCGGTGTCCGCGCGTGCCCTGCGGTGGCTTCCTCGAGTCCCTCTTGGCCGTTAACTCACCCTCCTCACCCACCGCGTCCGCGCCGTGTCCCGCCAGTTCCCGAAGCGACTGTTGTCCACCTTCGAACTCCGACGCCCTTCGAGCCGACCTGGCGCTCCTCCAGCGTCCAGCCACCTCCTCTCCCTGCAGCTGCCCCTCCGCCGGGAGCCCCTCCCGTCCGCCGCCCGCCGCCTGCTCTTTGCTCACGATCCACTTAGCTTCGTGGCCGGTCATCTCACTCAGTCTTGCCTGTCCCCTCGACCAGTGCTGCTCAGCAGTGGCCCAGGGACGCCCGGGGCAGGCGAGCTTACCTGTGAAGAGCTTGTGGCGTGGGACGAGACTTCCGGCTCAGGCTGGGAGCCGTGGAGAAGGATGACGTGTAAAGCGGAGCTTGTGACAGAGGCTGGGGGAGCGGCCAGAGGAGGAGGGACGTGCTGAGAGTGGCCGCTGAGAGGTCTGGCGAAACCGCTACAGCACAGGGTGGCTGTTGGGTCACGATGGACCACTGCCCGGGCACTTGGACTTGGTTAGTGGGCGGGAGGTCACGTCGGCGGTCGGAGCCGTGAGTGGCCATAAGGGGAGGAGACAGAACCGGGCATCTGTTAGCGTCAGGGCCCTGGCTCCTTGGGGAGGCTCCTGCACCTCAGAGTCAGGCGCTCATGGCGTGGGCATCATCGGGCCACCCAGGCTGCTTGGAGTGCTGGCCTGGGCTGGCCTGGGACTGCACAGGCTACTTAGTCTCCCCGTGCCTCTCACGGCTGCCATACTTCTCCATTCCCCCTCCCCGTGCACTGAGGAAGTGCACGCCATCAGAAGGGAGCGTCCACTCCCAGCACTCATCTGCCTCCCTGCCTGCCGCCCACCGCCACCTGCCTGCGACCCGCCTGCCGCCCACCGCCACCGCCTGCCTTGCCCTCGCGGTGCTGTCTCCTGCTCTGGCTCCTCCTCTCTCTTCCTGTGGGGGATTCGAGACCCAGCGCTCAGCTTGAGCACACTTCTCCTCTCCTGGATTATCCCGACACCCATCTGTCACTTCCCATCTTGAAAAACCCTCTCGACTTCACATCCTCCTTCACTCTTCCTTTGCTTCCCACAAAACTGGAAACATTCGTTTCCGATTCTTCCATCTTGATCCACTTCAATCAGGATTTTGCGGCCACCCCTCCGGAAAAGCAAGTCTTGCCAAGGTCCCGATGGCTGTCACGCTGCGAATCCGGTTGTTGGTTCTTAGCCTCGTCTTTCGGGGCCTGTCAGCGGCGTTTGGCACAGCTGGCACCTCCCTTTGCCTAGACGAGCTTTCTTCACTTGGCTCTCAGGACACCCAGCCCTTCGTCCGCCTCCCACGTGCTGTTTCTCAGCTCGTGCCGACCTCTTAAGTCAAGTTGACGTCTAAATACCCGAGAGCCCAGGCCTCAGCCTCTTGCCTCTTGTATATAATCACATGAATTTTTATATAATAGAATTTGTTTTATTGATCTGTTAAGTTTGGATGCCAGCACATTGATTAAATATTATTGATGGTTTATAGTATGTTTTAATCTTTGGTAGAGACAGTAGCTTCTCATTGACTTTATTTTTCAGAATTTTCAGTGATGTTCTGGTTTTTTATGCTTCCACATGAAGTATAACAATTTTGAAAACAATTTGGTCAGGTTATGAAAAGGAAAACCTCTATTGGGCTTTTTTTTTTTTTCTGGAATGGTAGTAAATTGACTAGTTCATGTAAATTAACACTTCATCAAAACTTCACATTAGCAAAATACTGAAATGTTTACTTTGTAATAGGTTGTCTTTTCCTATAAATACCAAAGATGTAGCTTCTATTATGTAAACAGAGATATGCAGAAACTAAACGATCTGTTAAATTTGTTTGTTTCAGATATGTTTCCTTCTGTTTGCTGTTCTCTACGTCGTTTCCTACTTCATCATCACAAGATACAAGAGGAAATCAGGCAAGTAGAAACATCGTGATGAGAACTTTGATTTCCGCGCCGAGCGGTCCCGGCGCGGTGCGTGGCTGCGGAGTGCCCGTCAGCGTGGCGGTCCGTTCGGGGTGCCCGTGCTGAAGCAGCAGCTGCCAGTGCGCAGCTCTAATGACAGACACCCGCCAGGGCATCCGAGACTTGAGGTCACCCTCCTAGCCGAGCCCTCGGTCGTCATGTTCTCAGGCCCGGCCAAGTGCGGGCTGGTCAGTGTCTGGGGACGCCGGCGTGGCGAGGGTGCTTCCTTGTGCCTGGCGCTGAGGTTGAGCACGCTCAGCCCCACCCGTCCTTTCTCTGACCGCCGGGATGCCCTTCTTTCTCTAAGGCGACACGGAGTTTACAGTCCTTGTATTGTTTCACGTGTACGTCCTTACCTCGCCAGGGGCCACCGTGTCTTTATTCCCTTTTTGATGGGCTTCGTGGTGATGGATGCACAGGTTTTTGTGCCGGGTTTTTTAAGTACCTAGGCAGTTGCTTTCCTGCCTTCCGTTAACTTTTATAAATCACGGGACTTTCCACCTGTGAAGCCGGGCCAGTAGGAGGTGCCACGTGACTACTTAAGGGTTCCTCATGTTACAGATTCCTTACACCACACCATCGTGTCGCACGTGCCGGACTTTGACAGGCAGCCAGGAAGTACTGCTTGTTCCCGCGCAGCACTCAGTACTGTCACGTGGCTGCATTAAAGTACTCCCTGGATTCTGTAGCCTCTCAAAATCGTGAAGGCCTGGGATCCAAGACAATATCTTAGCTGTTTTTAAAGATGTTTTGGTTTCAGGCTTCATAGGTTATGGACGCAAGAGGACAGCGAGAGAGAATAAGTAAATATAAAGCATCATTTTAGGGGAACTTCGGGGACGGCGAGCAGGACAGTTGGAGATTTATTGGGTGCATTTCAGGGTGATCACAGGGAGCGGGAAGGGCTCTGGCCCAGGTGGCAAAGTGTTGGGAACAGACCTGAGATGGATACGGGGACATTAAAGCATTCGTCAAGGCCTGACAGTGGATTGGCTGTGGGCACACCCCTGTAAACATGAGGGGCGACTGTGTGTGTTTGTGGTCCCCTTGGCCACAGAGCCACTTTGGGCACCTGCAGTTAAGAGCAGAGACTGGACTAAGAGCGTGGCCCAGACATGCCTTTGACACTGAGGCAGGTGGGCACCCAGACTTGCAGGGACCTGCAGAGAGCGTTTGACAACAGCCGGCTAGGTGCCGAGGAGAAGGAGGGCCAAGGGGATGGCTAATGGCCACGAGACAGGGAGAGGGGACGGTGACTGAGCGCTGGCACAAGGGCCACCTGCTCCCTGCAAAAGGTACCACAGGGCACTCTTGTGCACTAATGGTGGCATGTGGGGCAGTGGGGTCCAAGGTGGTTTGGGATGCTCCAGAAAGGTCCCACACTGTCATCGCGGATGACGGCCTCAGAGTACAGAAAGGCACACGGGTCTCAGGCTCTGGATTTTCATTTCGTATAAACATTTCTTTGGCTGTTATCAACTAGAAAACCTCATTCACGAGCAATTTTGTTTGCTCCATGTGGCAGTAACCTTGGCAGTGATCCTAAGGGTCTACCGAGTTTTATTCTCCCGAGCATTGAATATCTGGGACACTCTAATTTACCTGTGGCTGCTGCGTTAGGGGTTTTTGATTGAACAAGACACTATTCTTTAACCGTAACCTGTCGTATCTGATTTAGTGAGATTTACATTTGAGTCTCTGTTGAAATAAACACAGTGCTATTTGAAAATTTTTTACCTTCAATAGTTGCTTCTTTAAATTTATATTTTCATGTATGTTTTTAATAAATTAATGAAACATTTTGTTGGAAGATATGAGAATATTAATACCTTAAACATTTTTGCAGATGAACAAGAAGATGAAGATGCCATAGTCAACAGGATTTCGTACGTATTCTAAAGTTCAGTTGTTCTTTTAATTCTCAAGTCATAAGTCCTCAAAATTTAATTGTCTATATGGAAAAATTTACCTAAAGTATTATAACACCTTTATCGACCTTAATCCAGGTAGGCACAGATAACCGAGGCTTGATTATCTCCTGTTAAAATTTGCTTATTTAAGGAGCCGACAGATTTTATCTTCAGAAAATTCAGGAAGTGGGCTTCAGGCTGGGAAAATTTCTGGGCCAGAAGAAAGAAAGCTTCTGGCTGTTTGAACGGTCTGCTGGGAAGACCGTGATGGTCTGGGGAGGGAGCAGACGCCTGCAGTGGCTGATGGGACATTTACCTGCTGTGAGCAGGCATGGCCCTCAGGCTCCTGGGAGCTGGCGGTGCGTTCCTACGCTGGAGTCGTAGGATAGAAATGCCCGTGAATTATTTTGTGGAATCAAATTAGATAGAAAGCAGTGAATTTTTTTATGTCAGATTTTGCTGGATTAAAATTAGAAATGACACAGATATACCTACATAGGGGAGTATCTGTAATCCAGGATTGTTTTTATTGCTACCTTAATTTTTTTTTTTTTGAAAGAGTCCCAAATTTATAGGGAACTTAGAAATATAATACAAAGAGCTTTTTTTCACTGAACTGTTTGAGAAGTTGCTGACCGGATGCTTCATTTCTTCAGGGTACTTTTATGTCTAATTCCTATAAACAGCGCATTCTCCTGATGACTACTAGACAGCCACAGAATAATGGAGCCGACCTCGGTGCGGTCCCAGTCACGCGCCCTTCCGGTTTACCCGTTGTCCCGGAAGGTCGTAGCAGAAGGCGCTGGCTCAGGACCACAGTGCAGGGAGTTGTCATGTGTCTTCACGCCCCTGCAGACCAACCCTCCTTCACTATTTCCGTGGCTTCCCCGACCTTCTTAACGCCTTCCCAGGTTGCAGGCCAGTTATGGGGATTTGTCTGATGTTCCTCCATGATTAGCGTCCGATTGCGCATCTTTCGTGAGGTGCAGGGGAGGATGTGGGGAGGGGAGGGGCGAGAGAGACGTGCGCGCACACACTTGCACACACATGTGCTTTTGCCACACTCGAATATTCCACCGTGACAAGGCAGGGACCACTGACACGCGCTGCAACATGGGCGAACCTCGGACACGTGATGCTCAGCGAGCGCAGTCAGTCACGAAAGGCCACGTAGTGCGGGCTTTCATTTGTGAGAAACATCCAGAACAGGCAGGCCCAGCTAAAGCAGAATGGTGGGTACCGGGGCCTGGGGGCAGAGGGGAGTGGGGAGCAACGGGGTTTTATTTTGGGGTGATGAAAATGTTCTGGATGGTGGTGGCACAGCACCGTGGATGCACTAAATGTCACCGGATTGTTCGCCTTCCGATGGTTGACGTCATGTGAATGTTACCTCAGTAAAAAACCGAAAGCTCGTAACCAATAAGTGAGTAGGGCCGATTTGGTTAGTAACTGAAAAATGAATGTAAATAGACCCCGCTTCACTAGATCTGATTATTTAAATTATTTTAAATGCCCTAAGGAAAACAACCGTAACTTCATTTCCTACTGGGAATTCACGCTCTGTGGGTTTGAAACTTAGGCCCATAAGTTGGTAATTTAAATCTCAGGAGTAGGGGTCTTACTTTATCCGAGCATCGTGACATCTGGGGAAACCCTTAAGTGAACCATCGTTTTCTTCTGTCTCAATTACTGCTCCTGTAAACACAGAGCAAGTCACTTCCCTTGAAAAGCCACAGGGTGTCACAGCCTGAGCGAGGGGCCAGGGTCAGCTCTTCCCCAGGAGACCCTCTGGTGCGACGCGCCGGTGACATGCCGCTCCCCATTCGCTCTGTGCTCCACTTCGGAGGTGCCGTTACTGAAATGCACTTGCAGATCGATACTTTGTAAACAGACAAGAATGCGGCGCTTCGGCAGCACCTTGCAGTGTAGTTCGCGGAGAAGTGGCCGTTTCCTGTGACGCTCGGCGGCCGCACCTCGTCTTCCTGTCCGGGGGCTCGGGCCCTCCCAGCGGGGCTCCGCAAGGCGCGCCTCCCAGGTAGCCGGGTGCGCACTTCCTGTAAGGCCGGGAGGGGGCCCCTGGGAGAACAGCCCGGCCCGGGCTGAGCCCCTGCTCCCCGCCCCGGCCTCTGTCTTTCACGGCCTTTTTCCTTCCGTGGCGGACGCGTGAGAACTGAAGAGCGAGGCACATCGGGGTTCAGTTCTGAGCTCGAGATGGACCTGAGTCCAGAAGAGATGGAGAGACACGGGCTCGTGTCCTCCATTTGTGCGCTAGACCTGCCACCTACTTCGTGGTGCCGTCGTGTGGATGCAATGCCAAGCAGAAGAAGCTAGGGGCGGGTGCTCAGTGCTGTTCCCCCCGCCAGCCCTCTGTCCTTGAGTGGCAGTGGCGGCCCTCAGCCTCCTGAGGGGTCTGGACGGCTCACCCGCACAGCGCCTTGAGCGCCCATCAGCGCGTCAGGCCCGTTCCTGGGTATCCTGCGCCCCGACCGGCTCCCTCTGCCTTCCCAGGCAGCAGCTGGCTCCCCCGAGAGCTGCTCTCAGCTACTTACGGCTCAGTCTGGCTCAGATTAAAGCAGTTGATGTGAAAAATTCAGTGCCCAGTGGGGACACTGCCTTAAGGACGGCCTGTGAGCCCAGCAGGCGAGGAGGGTTTCTGTGCGCGGGGGGCCTGGCCTGGGGGCAGAGCCCCAGAGCGGAGCCTGTCACATGGAGTCGGGGCCGCACAGGGTGGGGAGGGTGTCTGCAGGGCGGCAGAGCCCAGGTAGGTTGAGGAGGGTGTCCCCAGTGGGGTGGCCTGGTGTGGGGCGTCAGCTCAGGAGGGGAGCGAGGGCGTCCATGGGGCAGGATAGTCCAAAATGGGGGATCACCTGAGCAGGAGGGCACCTGAGTAGGGTGGGGTGTCAGTGTGACGGGAGGCTGGTTGCGTACGGGATTGGGCCGTTCCAGATGATGGGGCCCCATCTCAGGTAGCAGCTGTGGGGGGCGATGGAGTTGAACGCTGAGTTGGCGTGCCAGAGTTGGAAGCATCGGCGTGGATCCATGGCTTTGAGCACACAGAGTTCTGGAACCGAGTGCAGACGTGAGTGAGGGTGCGTGTGGGCCCGTGCGTGCCTAGCTCACACCTGCGTCTCCTGGTCTGCCACCGAGGGCGCCCGGAGCGCCCGCCCTGAGGCAGAGAGTGCCCGGGTCTGAGCTTTGGGCTGCAGCTTTCCACTGGGAACCAGGGCCCCAGGGTGAAGACGGGGTGCCAGGCCGGGGCAGGGAGCGAGCGCTCCAGACTCATTTTCTACATCTTGTCGGCCAGAATGCAAGGAGGTGCTCAGAGTGACGAGGGCATGTCGAAGACTCAGAGCCTACGAGGCCGTCGCACGCAGTCGGACGCTCTGAGCAGCAGATTGAGTGTCATGGGCCCTCCACAGCGTAACATAAAGCGGTCCGCGTCCGTCCTGATGGGAGTCAGTGATTGGTGCCTCGTTGACCAAGGTCAGGGTGTCTTCCCAGTTTCAGGCTTAGCTTCCTCAGGGTACTGGCCCATGAGAGGAGGGAGTGAGCATAGAGTGGGGGCCCTGGCAGACACCATCTTGACCGGGGTCAGAGAGCACATGGCCAATAAAGGGGCAGATGGAAATTCAAGGTGACTTGGTGGCCTGCGGCGAGAGGGAGAGATGGCTCCTGTGACATTCATGTCACAGACATGTTGGACTCCACAGGCCCAAGGCTGAGCCGCTTCTCCCACCAGCCGGCTCCAGCTGCAGCCCCCTCCGTCCCAGGCGACAGTCACTGAGTGTCGCCATCCTCGACCCTGCTCTCCCATCCCACCCAGGGTCCCATGCTTCTGTGCAGTTTGCTCCGGTTAGAAGGTGGCAGTCCCGAAACTGTCCTTCAATGCAGGGGCACTTTTCTGAGTCGTATACGCGGTGACCACTACCCTTTGCTCACCGGACCCAGGGCCTTACAGGAGGGACCCTGGCCAGCACTTCACTACATAAAGGGCGTCACCTTTTTGTATCTCTGGGGCCAGTCACGGGACCCAAACTGCAATCGATTCCGAAAGTCTCGTTGAAAGAGGCAGCGCTATAGCCATGGCGACCACACAGTCAGGCTTTTCTGGGTCATTTGTGATTCTCGTACTTTGTTTGCCCTCGTGAGCGGGCAGCTTGTCCAGATGACAGGTCCCAGGCTTTGGTTTGAGAACGAGGGTTGGCCTTCATTGCCCGGCGTGTGATCGGAGGGTCTTGGGAGCCCAGCGGAGGGGCACGGACTTGACCGAGGGGCACAAGAAGGGAAGATGACACACAGGGGGACCTCAGGGGGGTGCCAACTGTGGCCCAGGGCATGGAGCCACGGAGCCACCGACGACAGGCAGGTGCCCGTGCAGGACTGCGGTGGTCAGGGGTCTGGAGGAGCGTGTGGGTGGACTTGCGGGCCCGGCGTGGCAGGGTGCAGCTCTGCTCTGAGCTGTAGTGTCGTAAGGACGAATGGTGGCGAGGACAGCTCCCTCACTGGACTTCTGAGAACAAAACTGAGGCTCGCTCTGGCCGGTCACTGCCTGAGTGGGCAGTGGATCTGGGACGAAGGCTTGTCCTCGTGCTTGTCCCAGGAGGCGTGTTGTCTGTCTGGCAGAACCGGTCCTAGGACTTTGCCTGTGTCTGATTTGAATCGTGGTTCCAGTGTGTGTCATGGGGCAACGCTGAAAAATGTATCAGCGGGGGTTTGTGATGGTTTTGGCTTTTAAGTGGGAAAACACTTCCGTGGGTCGCCACAAGATGGCGATGGCCGCACAGTCACTGTCCGCTGTGGCTTCTGAGCGGTTAGCACGATTTTTTCTTACATCTTACATTTTCTTTCAGATTATTCGTATGCTTACTCTAATGGGGCGGGTATTAAATTACATTTCCCTCTCTAATGTTAATGAGGTGCTCTTTTTCTTTGCCATTGAAAAAATATCTTTAAAAAATTAGGTATAAAAATTTAAACATTTCAGTCATGTATAACAGAAAGCGAAAGCCCTTTATCCATATTTTATGCCAGATTTTTTTTGTACCACTATTTTCTGTGTGTGTATATGCACTTTTTTGGGGGGGAGGGGCATGTTTTCTATTTGTCGTACATGCTTTTCTTCAGTTTTTTTTTTTACTTAGATATCTTTCTATATTAGTACATATTAGATCTTATTTTAAAAAATAACAAAAGTGTTTTAAATGCTGTTTAATGTATAATATTGTTTAATAGTTTCCTACTGTTTACTAGTATAATTTATTTAACTTTACTTATTTTAAGAAGTGCCAAGCCAATGGCTTTGTGAGTTTTTCCCCCTGAAATAATTTCATACTGCTTTCACAAGTCTTTTTTTCCACCTGAAACAGTTGTCGCATTGCCGTTAGCATATATTGCCAAAGTCGTTCATTAAATGCAACTGTGAAATAAATACTTAGGTGTAGGAGAGGAACGGCGCCAGTTTATGCTCCGCGAGGCGTGCGCGGCGGCCTGTCTTCGGCGCATGCGCGTCTGCGGGCCCGCGCCCTGGAGTCGGCGGCCTTTCCGAGGAAGGAGTCAGAGTTCATCTAGTTCCACGGAGCATTTGTCTGCCAGCTACGTGTGTTTAATGAGATTCTTACCTAACTCCCTTGAGACTTAAGCGTTTAAGCGTTTTTGTCCTCCCCGAATGACTCCCACACCCCTCGCGTTTTCCGACCCCAGTGACGGTGCCTGTCTTCTGTCCCAGGCTGTCCCTGAGCACGTTCACGCTGGCGGTGTCGGCGGGGGCGGTTCTGCTGCTGCCTTTCTCCATCATCAGCAACGAGGTCCTGCTCTCTTTCCCGCAGAACTACTACATCCAGTGGCTGAACGGCTCTCTGATTCACGGTCAGTGCGCGGCGCCTCACGATCGCCTTTCGCGTCCTCTCTTTTTACCGCGCTGCAGTTCTAGATTTTCCTTTTTGTAGTTTTCTTCATAACGTGCATCTTCCTGCAGTCGACCATTTGAGCCCTTAATAAAACCCCCAAACCAGACTTTACTTATCACCCCTATTCCTTGCTAGTTGTGAAAGGCTTTCTTATTTTAATCAAGGAGCAGTTTTTATACTTACCATGGTTTCGATAAGTAAATTTTCATTTAAATATTTAGCAAGAGAACTTTGGTTTGCCCAGACACGTCAGAAGAGCTCAGCCTTCATTTGAGACCTAAAAAAAGGTAGCCGTGGTTTCCATTTGATTTATTCGCTGCTAGCTGTTTTAGTCGTTTCAAAATGCATGGTACAAGAGCGGAAAAACTCTTTTCTCAAGTACAAACTTTAAAATTAATGTGGCTTTAAAAAAATTAACGACTGACTCATTATAGGCAACACGTAATGCTTCAAAGCCAGATTGACCTGCATTCCAGTCTTGGCTCTGCCACGTGCTGGCAATTTTTGGTGAGGTAGGATATTTTAACTTTAACTTATAAGATATATAAAAAGGTATAATGCATATAACTTTTTATATTTTTCATAGTCCCATACTCCTTTTTTCTTATTGAATTATGTGATCTCTTTATGTGTCAAACACATCAACTTTTTATCCAATTTTTATAAATACTTTTTTGAATTTTATTTGCCTTTTTGATTTATATAAGTTTTATATTTTTTGTGTTGTCATCTTTTTCTTCCTTTGGTTTCTCTAAGTGTTTTTGTGTTTAGAAAATCTTTTCCCTTTTGTGAGATGTCACAGATATTCCCTTTTTTTCTCTTTTCAAAAAATGGTTTTGTTTGTTTCACTGTTTAATCCACCTGGAGTTTATACACATACCTTTTCTCTCATCCCGTTGTGTGTGTTTAAAGAAATGCACGTTTGCTGTAGAAAATTTGGAAAACAAAATTTAGAGGGGAGAATGTTATTACTATTCACAGTCCCGTGATGCGGAGAGTCACCGTGGGCGCCGTGGCCAGTGGCCTTTCAGTGGCGTGTGCCTGTGAGCTCGCCCAGGCAGCAGGGCCCCGCGGTGCTCATGCGGTGCTCACGGGCACTTTGTGTCCTGTGGGTGGGTCAGTGCTTTCTCTGACGTTGCAATATTGCCTGGAGCCATCGTAATCAGGGCTTGTTCCCGAGTTTTCGAGAGACAGGCTACACTGCACATCTTTATAAACAAATATTTGTCCATAGGTTAAATTTCTGCAATTCACTTTCCAGGTGAGCATACTTGAACCTTTTTGAAAAGATATTTCTCTGTTATTCCTCGGAAAAAACACGCAAACGCCACTAGCATTTCCCCTTGCCTGGGAAGTGTGTGGGGGGGTCTCTATTCCCAGAAAGTATCCATACCAATTTTGGGTGTTAGTTAAAAAAAACTATCAGTGTAATAGGTAAAGAATTTCCCCCCTTAAGTGCACTTACTAGCGCAGGTGGACATTTACAAAGCACATTTATAGGTCGTTCATACTGATTTTTTATGAGATGGCCTACCTGCATTCTCTCTGCCCAGTTTTGCATGGTTTTTATTTTGAGTAATTAGCTGTCTATCAGGTTAAGTGCAAACATTTTCCTCTCAACCGTCCTTCAATACTGCTTAGGCTGTTTTTCGACATGAAGAATTTTGACATTTTAGTCTAATTGCGTATTTTCATCTGGCTTTGTGGTTTCTGTCATGCTCGAAACTGGAAACAAACGGAGTCATTGACGCTCTGAAGACCAAATGAATCCAATGACGTTGGGACTAATTATTAAGTGAATAAAAAGAAATCAGTCTGTTATTGGTGCTTAGCAATCGATAAACTCAAGTAAGCGAACTAAGGTCTTTACTGAAATGGACACAGAAAGTAAGTCTGAAAAGTCACCTGTTATTATGAGAGGCAGGAAGCAACCGGGAAAAATGGCCGTAATGTTTCTGGTGAGTTAATTTTAGATGACCGTGCTATTTATTATTAGCAAACACGTGGCCAATGTGTAATTTACAAAACCGTTTTTGTGTGTATTGTCTAAAACGTTTGAAGACTGCTGGCGCCGTCCCCTCTGCCCCAGCTTTCTCTAAGGCTGTGGATCCTGAGGTGCGTGCGTCTTGGAAGGCTGGCTGCCAGGTGTGTTCGCCAGCAGGGCAGGTGGTCTCAGGCTGGCTAACCAGTACGGCAAGTGAACTGGTCTTTGTTTTCAGTTTTACTAAACAGAAATTGCGTGCTATACGTGATGACCTTCAAACACTCGAAATCAGGGCTATTTTCGTTATTCTGGTTATGGGCCGGAAGTAAGAGCTGCCAGCACGTGACATGCCATGTATTTGGGCTAGAGGCCTTACCCTTGGAAGTCATGTGTTTTTGTATTGGTTGTCTTTCCATTATAATGTTAGGTGTGTAAGCTCGGACATTTAATTTTATTTATAAATCAGGGTCAGAACAGTGCTTCCCACATAGTGGTAGTCCAATAAACATGGTGAATGAATAAACTATATAAGAAGCGGCATCTTCATTCCCCAGTAAACAACGCTGGCTGGGAGTGGGGGAACTGGAGCGAGACCCTTCCGAGTGCCTTCTCCAGAACGGGTCTCAGGAGGCCTGGGACGCCGGCCTTGCTCTTGAGGCCGTCACGACCCCCGGCTTTGTTTCTGCTTCTGAGTCTTTGGTAGAGCTGTATATGTGTCAAAGGTGCCGCATATAGTGAGTGTTCTTGAATTCTTTTTGTCTATTTTTTGTTAAACCTTGCATGAATTTACGCTAAATTTTTTGAGGACGTGGAATATGTCTTAAGTTCCTAGTCTCTCGTGGAGCAGCTGTTCCGGTGCTTACGCACCGCAAATGTTCACTAGAGATTCATTGATTGGATGAATAAAAGTTTTTGACTGTATCATTAGAATACTTTGATAAGAAATGAACTTAATTTGAAAGGAACTTTAATGGCTTATCCTATAAAATCATCAGTATGTATGTTTTTTGATGGATTGTGCCTTTAATGTGTAAATCACATAGAGATGAGAGGCTAAGGTGTGTGTCGATGATGCTTTAGTCTGCGGAAGGATATTTTGTTCGTCTTGAATGCGGTGTTAGGATTCTGGGCCCCTGGGCTTGTGATGTTATGTGTTACTCATGTTATCTCAGTTCCAAATCTCCGTATCGTGTAGCAGGAAGTATCTCTGTCTACACCGCAAAGTTATTAGAGCAGCTTGAAGAATATGATATACAGAAATGGCATTGGCACCAGGGGGAGGCCGGGGGTGCTCCCCTGGGCATTGGCGGTTTTAGCCAGGGGTGCTGTGAGGTGAGTCCCATCGCTCCCCAAGTATGCATCACGGCACGCTGGCTTCTTCAGTTTACTGTAGGATGGTACGAGGTGGGCGGAGGTGACAAATTAAAATGCCAGCTAAAACTTCGTATTATTTTTATTATGACGAAAATTGGAAAAAATAGGTTAAAATGGACAGCAAAAAGTATCCATTTGTATTCACTTTCTATATCTTGTATGTTAAACAGTTAGAGGAAAAGTATGAAACTCTTCAGTTCCATAAATTGAAAAATAACGATACAGCTGCTTAATGGGTTTTTCTTTTGGGGTGATGAAAACGTTTGGGAACTCGGTCAAGGTCGTGGTCGCACAGCATTGTGAGTGCACTAAATGCTGCTGCGTTATTCACTTTGAAATGGTAATTTTATGTCATGAGTTTAAAATTAAAACCCGAACAGTGATACATCGTTGGAAGGCAGAATGATGGAATTAAAATTGTAGCCTTAAAGTCAGGAAGTAATTCTTCAATTATTGAGGTAATTTCCCCTATTGGGGTCCAGTTTTTGCCAGGCTATCCATACTCACTGTGACCAGACACATGTTGTAACATGATTGCCCAGTTTGAGGGTCAGTCTGTTAAAAGGTAACCACGGTGGATGTGACTAGTTTTTGCAAGGTACATGTGCTTTATTTTGTTTCGTCAGCGAGAATAGACAGTATGCTGTTTTAGACATCATGAAGGAGCAATATAAAATCTTTGTTTTATTCATTTTCAAAGTCCACAGAAGATTTGAAAAAAACCAAATTTTTAGATTTTAAGAAATCTAACTTAAAGAAGTGTTATACTTAGTTACGTGTAAATATTAAAAGTCAGCCCTTAATAAATTTTGACGTACCAGCGATAGTTAAATGTTACTAACAATCTCTAGTTAATTGGTCTCAGTAGTTCAGCCATTTATTATAATGTGCGTCACCATGGTTACTAATATTTATTGAAGTATTGTTTAAAATAATAAAAATGAAAAACAGCCTGAATGTTCAAAGTAGGAAACTTGCTTAATTTGTGGTGGACCCGAACAGTGGAGTGCCTTTGGTCGTTACAGATGATGATGCAGATGCGTATAGAAAGATGCTGAAAAACTCTTTTCCTCTGGTTGGTAGGCTAATATGATATAAACTTTTATTTTGGTATTTGCACTGTGTAACATTTCTATGGTGGGCATGTATTGCTTTTTTGTTATAAAAAAAAGTTATAGTAAGGTAAAAAATTTCACAAGTCATTGCTAAAATTATTCTTTATTTGTTTTCCTTCTAAGTAAGCAAGCAGAAGCTATTCTAATTCTGAAGTTCTCATAACACTCACCTTTCAAAAGTAAACCTGTTGTCTTTTTTTCTAAGTTTATACTTCTTTGGTAGAATTTTTTTATTAGTCACTTTTTGACAATCGAATTAGATCCTCACTTCCACTGAAATATTGGTTTTAGCTTAGTTTTGTCACTTTGGATGTTATTGAATATAGCTGAATTTGGTTAATTTTCTTATTTAAATTTATGAAGTTTTTTGTTACCGTGATGAAAAGTGATTATTTACTTCATAGTATCTTCTATTGTATTTTGAAATATTTTGTGACTCCAGCAGGTGGCGCTAGATGTTAACGCATCCTCTGCTGTTCTGGCAGT